AACAGAATGGCACATAGCTAGGAATGAAAGGAAGGCAAAGCAGGAGCCCAAAACATGAGCCCCAGGTTGGCTGATCTCCCAGCTTCCATTATAGGCTGAGGGGGTGTCTAACTGGCCAGTAGAGACACTGAGAGACAAAGTACCCCTGAGATTTTTCTACTTGCGTCTAAAATGCTGAGTTTACTTTTGTTAACTATTAATCAGAACTATATGAGCCCTGGCTGGTGCAGCTCAGTGGATTGAGTACTGGCTGCAAACCAAAGGGTCTCTAAAAATGAATAAATGAAATTAAAAAAAGAAACCTGTATGAAATTGCTGTATTTGTAGGTAAAAAATAAAGCCCCATCAAATACAGGCAATTTCATATGGCTCAAGCTAAGACTAAGTCAGCAGAGACAGCTGTAGTGCCCGGGGGACCAGACATGACACGGGATGCGCCAGGTGGACCCTGTGTTAGTGAGCCCGCCCATCGCCCAGGCGGACGTGACTCTGATGCTCTCTCATCCAGGTTCTGGGAGAACCTTCCCATGTCTGGGCTGCTTTCATTCAGGTGGGGCGGTGGGGGGTGGGGGGAGGCAGGGACCAAGCTGCTCCTAGGAGGCTCCTGAAGGGCAGATTCTGGGCACACAGCTGCTGGTCCGTGCAGGATGCACCCACCTCCTTCCCACTGCAGACTTTCCCAGAACTCCCCACTGTCCTGAGGCCCCGGTCGTCCTCACGGTGACTCCTGACAGAGACTGATCCAGGGAGACTTTGCTTCCCCATTCCTCTGTCATCAGCCCCTCCCTGGGCCTCTCCTAGGTCCGCACTGTCCTTCAGGTCAGGGGTGGGTGGGGTGTGTGTGCATAACCTAACCCCATTACAGAGATGTGAGGGGAACTACCCACAATCCCACTGCCCTATCATATCCTTCAGGACATGTCACAAGGGTTCTTACCCTTTCTCCCTGCACATGTCACCCAGTGCCCTGGATCCAACAGCTTGAGTCATCCAGACGCAGAACTAAACCCACAAAGTCAAGTTTATGGGCTCTTTGCAACAAGGCAGCTAATATACCAGAGGAACCAGGGGTGGTTTGCCAAACAAAGCAAGTCATTCAGAAGTCAGGATCTGGGGGTGGAGTGGGGTATAGGTGACCTTGAGATGATGCAGAGTTTTCATGGGCTCAGACCAAAGCAGACCATGGGTCAAGGGCCTGGACGTGGGTGTGGAGGGCGACGAAGATCTGGGTTCTGTCTCCTTAGAAACCACAGTTCAGACAGAGGTGACAGAACCTCCTTATCTGAACCTTGCACCTCGACTGGAAATTGAGGCAGTTCCAGTGACTTACGCCCTGCAGGCCCGAGGGGACCTTTCCTTCACAGCATTTTCGTCAGTCTGGGCTCAGGGCACAGGCTTTCCAGCAGGGCCACTCAGAACTCGGGTGTTTGTACTGCACAGCGCTAGCGGTTCTTGGGAGAAACACTTTCTTGTCAGCTCCCCGACCAGCTTTATCTGGGTCCAGCCTCTGGCCTGATGATTTTCACTTTTTCAGTAGCTATGTGCTGCGAATTCTTCACTTGGGGACCCAGAGGTGGAGGAAGGCTCTGAAATGGCAGGCACGGTCCACTGTGAGGGCAGGTTCTCCAGGAAAGGGGCTGCAGCTTCTGTCAGATTCCCCAGGCCTCCTGGTCCTGGGCAAGGTCCCGACGGTGTCAGGAGGCTAGAGGCAGTGGGGCTAGCAGGGATGGGGCAGGTGGCCTCTTGCCTCCCCCTTTCTTCTTCCAGCAGAGTGAGGCCGGGGCAGGCGGGCCTTTCCTGAATCGGGAGGGCAGGACAGGCCGCTGGGTGGTGGGAGAGTGGCTGGGGAAGGGGCCGACTCCGGGGTGGAAGGTGTCCTGTGGGAGTCCAGTGGGTAGGAAGTACCCCGATGGGTGATGATGGGTCCCTGCAGCACCTTGTTGAAACCACCCTTGTGCTTTCTACACCTGTGTTCCGAGGGTGTGCTTTGTGCCAGGAGTGGGGGCGGTGTCACAGCTCAAGGGCATCTGGGAAGACAAGCTAGCACAGGAGCGAGTGGGACGTGGCAGGGGTCTCCTGGGCAGTGCCACGGGCCAGCAGGAAGCCTGGCTCCCAGGGGACTGAGAGATGCCCGGGAAGGGGTGGGGGGCGGGGGGCACTACCATGGCCCCGATGCCTACGGGAAACATTTGAATGCATTTCAAACATTTGGGAAAAGCCCACAAGAGACGCATTTGTAGGACCAAGCACCAAGTGCAGTGTTTCTTTGTGCGGAGTTTTTTCGAGGTTGGTCCCGCACCCCACTTAAGGGGTGGCGCAAGAGACACCTTTAATCCTCTCGATGAGCCGCACCTACTCCCCTACAGGCTGCGGCCTGGCGCCAGTGGCCCCGCTGACCAGGATCGTGGGCGGCAGCGCCGCGGGCCTTGGGGAGTGGCCTTGGCAGGTGAGCCTATGGCTGCGGCGCAGGGAGCACCGCTGCGGGGCTGTGCTGGTGGCGGAGCGGTGGCTGCTGTCTGCTGCGCACTGCTTCGACGTGTGAGTCTAGCCTGCCTTGTCCCCTGCCCTTCGGTGGTTCACCAGGACACTGTGGCCCAAAACTTACTATCCTGCTTCTGAACCTTTGCCTGGAATGCCCCCACTCCCCACAACTGGGACCCACTGCCACCCCTGCTCTGTGCGCCCACACACCACATGGGGCTGCGGGCACCTAGTCCACCGCCCCCCCCCCCGGCCTCCCTACTCCCTGGGAACCACAGCCTCGCCCAGCCCAGGGCCAGGCTTGCTGCCGACATGGGGTCTCCATCCCCCAAAGGCTACACACTGGGGAGCCCCCTTGGTGGCAGGCTGCTCGGTAGGGTGGACCAGGCCAAGGGTCCTGCTGTCCCAGAGATGCCCAGTTCTCGGGTGTGTGGCGGCAGAGGGAATGGGCAAGGGGGGGGGGGCAGGGGGCCCTCTGGGCACCAGGGCCCTAATATTGGGCAAAAATTGGGGTATTTTGTGGTGTCACCTCATTGCCCTGGGCACATTTCAGGCACAGGCACCCCTCCCCACTGTCCTAGGGGGAAAGAAGGGCTCAACCCCATTCCAGATGAGTCACCCAGGGCCCGGAGAGGTCGAATACCCTGCCCAAGGTCCCTCCCTGGCTGACCCCCTGGGGCACAGGCAAGGACGTGGCCAGAGCTCTACTGGGCAGAGTCCAGAGGAGCCCCAGGGGGATGGGAACAGAGCGCAGGGATCCAGGCCAATGCCTGTCCCTGCGCCCCCCACAGCTACGGGGACCCCAAGCAGTGGGTGGCCTTCCTGGGCACACCATTCCTGAGTGGCGCCGACGGGCAGCTGGAGCGTGTGGCTCGAATCTACAAGCACCCCTTCTACAACCTCTACACACTCGACTACGACGTGGCGCTGCTGGAGTTGGCGGGGCCCGTGCACCACGGCCGCCTGGTACGGCCCATCTGCCTGCCTGAGCCTACGCCCCGGCCCCCCGACGGGGCCCGCTGCGTCATCACCGGCTGGGGGTCGGTGCGCGAGGGAGGTAGGAGAGTCCTGTAGGGACCCTGCACTCGGGGTTAGTGCTCTGCGGGCATCAGGAAGGCCTCCAGCTCAGTCCCACGTGGCCCCACCCTCCGTCCCACCCGCAGGTTCCATGGCGCGGCAGCTGCAGAAAGCTGCAGTGCGCCTCCTCAGCGAGCAGGCCTGCCGCCGGTACTACCCAGTGCAGATCAGCAGCCGCATGCTGTGTGCCGGCTTCCCGCAGGGTGGCGTGGACAGCTGTTCGGTGAGCGCAATTTAAAACTGAAATGAAGGCTATGCCAGGCACCAGGTCCCATCCATCTGGCGAGGAGGTCAAGATTCTCTTCGCTCTAAAGCCCAACCAGAGGCCCTTCTGTGGTGCAAACTTAAGCTGATCAAGCAGGGAACCTTTTCTGCCTCAGAGGTTTCAGTGGACCAGCACGTATCAGGCATCCATCACCAGCCAGTGCTCCCCTACCACCACACCCTCACCACGGCCCTGCAGGGGAGGGGTGGGAACAGGCTGCAGTGTGAGGCCCCGTTCTGCTAGGGAACCACACTAGTGGGTGTCCATGAATGTCTGCCAGCCAGACCAGTGGCTTGTCCTAGCACTGAGCCTGCTTCTGAAACAAAAACAGTGAGGCTCACAGGGGCAGCCATCCACCTGGGGTCACACAGGGAACCCATGTGACATTCCTGTGGTTGCCAGTCACCAGCATGTGCAGACCAGGCCAGCCCTTCCTTGGCCCCAGGGCTACGACTGGGGAGACGCTGGCCTGTTCTGAGCACCTTCCCTCTCTCCTCCCTTCAGGGTGATGCTGGGGGACCCCTGGCCTGCAGGGAGCCCTCTGGCCGGTGGGTGCTAACTGGGGTCACCAGCTGGGGCTACGGCTGCGGGCGGCCCCACTTCCCAGGTGTTTATACCCGGGTGACTGCCGTGAGAGGCTGGATCACACAGAACATCCAGGAGTGACACCCCATGGCTGCCCAGGCCTGGAAGGAGAGTTGTGAAGGCAGTAGGAACCAATCAGCCACCAGGCAGCCACCAGTCCAAGAAGGGGAGTCCAGTCCGGGTGGTAGGCAGCAGTGCTACGGGTAGCAGAGTACAGTTTTACTGTATATTTTGTTCCAATAAAAAGCCCCTTGTCCCTAGCCTACTGGCTCAGCACCTCCATATTACAGCAGAACAACTTGCCTGCGCATCACTCAGCGCCCAGAGATGGGATGAAGGATGTGGGGGTAGCAAGGCCTCCCAGGGAGAGGGCAGCCCCCACACCCACAGCCCCGTGTTTGGGGCTCAGATTTCAGCCTCATCCTCAAGGCTCCCTTTTGTGTAAACACATTCCTGTCATCCAGGGAACCCAGTAGCAAGTACCAAGGGGAAAAATGGGGGTAAGGGCAAAGACTGAGCCTCACTCAGTCTAGGCAGGGGACTCAGGTACCACAAAGGCCTCCACTGCAGGGAAGACACAAAGGGCTCTCTCTAGCCCTCCTTCATCAATTTATTTCTCAGCCCACCCCCGTGAGGTCACAGCTCGGGTGGGATCTAACAATACCCACCCCACCCCCAGGTCCACAGGAGAATTCTATGGCCAGGGCTTGAGGATGACCCGGGCACACCAAGGGAGATGCCACTGGGCTGCCAGCACTTTGGAAAGGTCCACAGCCCCCAAGTTCCCAACTACACTCGCTGGCAGGAGGTGGGTTGGACGCAGGGGGGCGGGTAAGAATCCCCAGTGTCCCAGCACCAGTCTCGTCCTCATAAACCAGAGGCAGGCAGCACGCACACGCCGGCCCCCACCTCACAAAGCACATTTATGGAAATCGAACACGGGTGGGGATGGCCCGCTGGCCTGGCCAGGCCCAGAAAATCCTGGTCACATGTTGGCTCGTTCTCGCTGCAGCCGCGAGTTGTAGGCGCGGGATACGGTGTTCCAGGCATCCATGTAGCGATCCATGCACATGGCGATGCATTTCTGCAGGCAGGGAGGGCATGCGGCTCAGCTCTGGGCCAACATAGACACACACCTGACACACACGGACAGACACACCCCACCCCCCTACCCCCAGGGCTGCGGGCAGCGGACTGCACATGCGCAGCAGTCCCACCGCACCATCCCCCCCCACCCCTTAGTCCGTGCATGCGCAGAGACCCCTCGCCGGTTCCCGCTGGCGACCCACCGGGACCCCAAGGGTCTCACCTGTTCCGAATTGTCCAGGGAGCCCCCAGGCTTCCCGATGCACTTCCGGAAGCATTTGTCTGTCATCCTCTGTGGGGACATGCGAACCCTCAGCCGCGACACCCGCCCCTTGGCGGACCCCGCCGCCCTCGGCCCCCGGCCCGACTCCGGACCTGCAGCAGCTCCTGCGCGTTGGCCACAGCGATCTGCACCTTCACCTGCTCCATGATGAGCCCCGGGTCCAGCTTGCCGCCGCCCGAGCCCCCGAAATCCGAGCCGAAGCCACCCTCCATGGCCCCACAAAGTTAACCAGCCACTACCGCGTGCGCCGACCCGTACCTGCGCCGGAAGTCAACCGCTCAAGGCTCCGCGGGAAATGGAGTCCGGGCGTGCTGGAGGCGGGGCAATGGGCCGCACCACCCACAAGCCCGCCATTACAATGGGATCTGATACCCGGTGTTCAGATTCCAGCATCTCCACTGCGGAGGGAGCTGTCGGCTTCCACCTGCTGCAGGGCAAGGTTAGGAAATGGAGTCTGCCTGCACCTGCCAGTGGGTCTTTTTTTTTTTTTAAGTGTTTGTGGGTCTTAAACACTTCTAAACCTAGAGAAGAAATATACCTGCAAGGACTCCTTGTGCTTAGAATTCATAACCAATTTAGCAGCCATTGCTTACAGGGTCCACTCACCCACATTGCATTTTAGGGAAAAGCTTCGGAGTGAGTGCCCAGCCTTGTTGACACTATTTCGAATGTCCCCCCCCCCCCCCAATTTGCTCTCCTCCACCCAGCCCCTGCCTCACGCCACCCTTCCCTCTGGCCATCACCACACTGTTGTCTGAGTCGGTGGGTTATGTATACGTGTTCTTTGGCTGATCCCTTCACCTGCTCTCATCCATTCCCCCCTCCGCTCCCTTCTGACAGCTGTCAGTCTGTTTTGTGTATCTATGCCTCTGTTTCTATTTTGTTCATCAGTTTATTTTGTTCATTAGATTTCCCATGTGAGATCATGTGATGTTTGTCTTTCTCTGACTGGCTTATTTCACTTAGTGTAATAACCTCCAGATTCATCCATGCTGTTGCAAAAGGTAAGATTTTCTTCTTTTTAATGATGACATAGTATTCCATTGTGTAAATGTACGACAGCTTTTTTATTCACTCCTTGACTGATAGGCATTTGGGCCGCTTCCAGACCTTGGCTGCTGTGAACATAGGAGTGTATACATTGTTGAATTGGTGTTTGGGATTCTTAGGATATATTCCCAGAAATGGGATTGCTGAGTCAAAAAACAGTTCGGTTTTTAATTTTTTCAGGAAACACCATGTTTTCCATTGTGGCTGCACCAGTCTGCATCCCTACCAACAGTGTACAAGGTTTCCCCTCTCTCCACATCCTCACTAGCACTTGTTTGTTGATTTGTTAATGATGGCCATTTGGGTAGTTGTAAGCTCCTACCTCATTGTGGTTTTAATTTGCATCTCCCTGATTAGTGACATTGAGTCTTATTTGCATCTTTACTAACCTATCAGAATGCATGGAGCCAACTCTGGTATATGGGACAATCAGACTGCAAATTTGGAGTCCTCATTTGCATATGAGTGGACCAGCTGGGGACCAGAAGTGGGCACTCTTCTCTGTATAAGCCAGCCTCAGCGCTCACTGCCTGAACAGTGGCTGTATTTCTTCAGTATGCAAACTGGGGTGTAACACCTGATCCCCTTTGGAGCCTCTTCTTCGATTAAGCTGTTTCTCACCTGAGCTGGTCCATAGCTGAGCTCACATTAACAGGCACTTTGTAAAGATGTTTTCATAAGGAGGGGTACACGTGAGGATGCTCACCTTATGGGCATTGAGGGAGAACACCACCCATAAGGAGGACTACAGAATGGGTAACACATGCTGTATTGGTTGGAGCATTATCCCAGTGTGCCAGGTTGTGGGTTTGATCCCCGGTCAGCGCGAATATGAGAAGCAGCCAACGAATGCATCAGTAAGTGGAACAACAACACATTGATCTTTCTTTTCCGCTCTCACCCTCCAAATATCAATAATAAAAAAAGAATGTATATTCTGCTCCTTTGATGTAAAATGCTCTATAAATATGAAATCCATGTGGTCTAATGTGTCATTTAAGGCCACTGTTTCCTTGTTGATTGTCTGGGTGCCCTATCCAATGATGACAACAGGGTGTCACCTGTCTTGGACACCAGCCCGCAGTGTCTGAGGCGTTATGGATAAGACAAGATACATTCACACGGACTGAGTCCTGTGGAGGAAAAGGGATGGTACAGCTACTCTCCCAAGGGAGAGTGCCCCGACCCTTGCCTTTATAGGTTTCTATTGGCTTTCATTTTGCACAGGAATACAGGTAAAGCTCATTAATCATTGTCAGGCAATAAGGATCAAATAACAGACAGTATACAAAGAACTACAAGGACTTATTCTGAGTCAGGGTCTGTTAGCTAAAGGGCTACAAAACTTTGGGAAACAAACTCATTTCCTGCTCAGACCCTTATCATTTAATGGAGAGCATTCTTAGCAAAGCAGGTTTCACAGGATTTTATGCATTCTTTCCTAGGCCTGATTGCCCCAGGGAACCTACCCTTTCCAGCACAGGGCTGCACCCGCCCTCTGTCATTGTTTTGGGCTTAAGTCAGACAGGGGAAGTAAGGCAGCCAAGAGATTAGGAGACTTCTTGCTGAGAGAATGAGAACTCAGACTATATCAAAGCTGAGGGACGAGGGTCCATCACCCCCTTTTGCTATAGCCCCCCAAGTCTATCCCTGGGGCCTCCCTGTGATCATGCCTGTCTTAGGTCTTTCCCCCCTTGGGGGATCTTATCCATCATTGGCTAACCGATCAAGCATTGGGGGCCAGTTATGGATGAAGAAAAATGAGCAGAAGTGGCGCCTCTGCCAGGGAGATGAGCTTTGTCTCTTTAGTGGCTCATGGTCTGAAGGTCGCTCACTCAGCCTTAGCGATGGGGGCGGGGGGTTGTTACAGCTTCTGAAACCAGGCAGTGTGGTTCCCAACATCTCCCCCTTTTTTGTTTTTTAAATCAGTTGTAGCTGTTAGGCCTGTGAAACCTACTATTTGCTGTTTTCGAATGCGATCATAAGGCAACAACTTCCACATCATAAAGCACAAATAAGGATTAAGACAAGGACAAACCCAAGGACAGCCATGACCCGAGCTCCTAAATTCAGTCCATTTAAAAATGTTGCGAATGCAAGGGAACCACAAGAGTAGCAGGTCCGGTTACATTTCAGTCCTTGGGAGAATTAGCCCAGACTTCAGGAAGTCACCTTAAAGATAATGCAGCAAGTGTGGGTCACAAAGCAGCTCAGGTATAATGCAGGCCTGATTTCCCATGGGAGAATTTCTTCACAGGTGTGGTCCTGCGTGCTGACTCACCATCTACTGGTTTTCCATGTGGGTGCTGGGCTACGTTTCCACGTCCAGTGAAGAGGTTCCCTACAGTCACCATCCCCTTCATTACTGTTGGTCACTCCCTTTGTGCCCGTCAGTACTTGCTTTATGCACTTAAGTGCTCCTGCACTGGGTGCGTAAATGTTTACAAGGGTTATAGCCTCTTGTTGAGTTGATCACTTTATCATTATGGAATGTCCTTCCTTGTTTCTTGTTAAAACCTTGGTTTTAAAGTCTATCTTGTCTGATATAAACGGTGCCACCGCAGCTTTTTAAAATTTCCATTTGCACAGAACACCTTTCCCCACCCTTCCCTTTCAGTCTGCCTGTCTTTCCATCTGAGGCGGGTCTCGCAGGCAGCGTGCTTGTGGTCTTGTTTCTTGTCCACTCAGCTACGCTGTGTTCTAAGATTTTATTTTTAGAGAGGGGGAGGGAGGGAGGGAGGGAGGGAGGGAGAGGGAAACATCGATGGGCTGCCCGCCCCCCACATGTGCCGCAGCCGGGACCAAACCCTCAACCCAGGCGTGTGCCCTGACCAGGAACCAAATTGGCGACCCTTCGCTTTGTGGGCCAGTGACCAACCACCTCAGCCACGTCAGTCAGGTCCACCCTGTCTTTTGATTGAGTCACTTAAAACATTTACATTGAGCCCTGGCTGGTGTAGCTCGGTTGGAGCATCGTCCTGTCACCGAAGGACTGCGGGTTCGATTCCTGATCAGGGCACACACCTAGGCTGCAGCTTCAGTCCCCTGGTCAAGGCGCCTGCGATCCCTGGCCTGGGCACTCCGGGAGGCCACCAGTCGAGCTGCTCTCTTGCCCTTCCTCTCTCTCTAGAAAAGGCAATGGACCTCAAGGTGAGGGTTAAAAACAAAATTACACTTAAAGTGATTATTGATAGGTATGGAGTTATTGCTATTTTACTATTTATAATCATTTTTTCCTTCTTAAAGAAGTCCTAACATTTCTTGTAATACTGAGATGCATTCCTTTAGATTTTTATTTTTTAATAATTTTTTATTTTGTAATTATAGTTTATTTTGTAATATTATAGTATTATATTAGTTTCCGGTATACAGCATAGTGGTTAGACATTCATATAATGTATGAAGCGATCATCCCGATAAGTCTAGTACCGATGTGACACCATACATAGTTATACAAATCCTTTAGCTTTTTCTTGTCTGGGAAGCTCTTTATCTCTCCTTCAATTCTAAATGATCACCATGCTGAGTAGGGTAATGCTGATTGTAGGTCCTTATTTTTCATCACTTTGAATATTTAGTGCCAGTCCCTTTTAGCCTGCAGAGTTTCTGTTGAGAGGTCAGCTGACAATCCTGTGGGAGCTTTCTTGTAGGTAATTAACTGCTTTTCTCTTGATGCTTTTAAAATTCTCTGTCTTGCCCTGGCTGGTGTGGCTCAGTGGATTGAGTGCCGGCCTGTAAACCAAATGGTTCCCAGTTCAATCCCCAGTCAGGGCACACGCCTGGGTTGCAGGCCAGGTCCCCATTTGGGGATGCATGAGAGGCAACCACACACTGATGTTTCTCTCCCTCTCTTTCTCCCTCCCTCTTTCTCCCTCCCTTCCCTTCACTCTAAAAATAAATCTTTTTTTTTTTAAGATTCTGCCTTTAAGCTTTAGCATTTTAATTATGATGTGTCTTGGTGTGGGCATCTCTGGGTTTTTTTGCTTGGGACTCTACATTTCCTGGACTTGTATGTCTATTTCCTTTGCCAGGTTAGGGAAGTTTTCATTCATTATTTCTTCAAACAGGTCTCTCTCTTCCTCTGATGCCCCAATGATGTGAGTATTGGTACTTTTGATGTTATCCCAGAGATCCCTTAAACTATTCTCATCTTTTAAATATTCCTTTTTTCTTTTTTTGGCTATTCTAGTTGGGTGTTTTCTGCAACCTTGTCTTCCAAA